TTTTTAAAAATGGAGTTAAAATTCCAATTTACTTTTTTGCTTTGAAAACTTCTAGACAGAGACTTTGGCTTAGCGAATTTTTCAACCGTCTTCTAGCTAGCAAACGCAACAGCTAGGTTGAAAAAAAAGAAGCTTCGATTAATTTCGTCATACCATTAAAAACTGTTGCGAAAACTTCTGCTCACAAGCCGGATATGGCTTAAAAGAGAATTCCACAAGAGCCTCATAGCATGATCTACTTATGACAAAACGTTTTTATAAGATCAAATAGCTCTAGAAAGCAAGTTCCTAAAATTACTCAATAATTCACTGATTTCTTACAATATTTGACATTCACAATTATACCTGTTTTAGAATTTTAAAAATGCTAATTTTGAAATAGGCACCTATGCCACCTTTCGCAATGATACTTCGGTAACGGCATAAGTTACATCATTTTCAGAAAGGAATTCAAGGATTACAATGTCAAAAGAACAATGCTTGTGTTGAAATTGTTGATTTCGAAATACTAGATATACAGGTGACAGGGATTTAGAGTAAAGTCCGCTAAGTAGCCAGATAGACTCTGTCCAGCTATAACTTGATTTAACCAGCTTTCCCCTTTCTGGCGAAGAACAAATCGTGAAGATTATTAAATAAATTTCTCATTTAGTGGTCACTTTCGAACACAGCTCTCTATTTTCATAGCGAAGTCTTGATCTAGGTACGACAGGAAGTTGGTTGAGGGATTAAGTGCTCTACTCTGATCTCTCGCCCACTCTATGGCGTGGTACAAAAATTTTTACTCACTTGTCAAATGTCATTATTTTTCAAACCAACGAATATAATTTTTGTTTTAAATTTTGCAGATGAAATCCAAGGTGTAAGGTGTTTAAATGCGAAGAGCTAAATCATTACTGTTGAAGAAGAACGAATATCAATGTGTATGCTTTCTATCACATAGGGCGGCTCAAAAAGTATATTTGATCGTTAATAACTCCTTTATCTTCTAAACTTGGTGTATTATTAAGAATTAGCTCCTCTTATGAACTGATCTCATACTCTGAACCATTACGCTGGGAGTAGCATGCAAGTTAGTAGGTGGTTCTAAGGCCAGCATTATCATGCCCATTTTACAAAGCCTTGCTGGTTTAATGGCTACTATATTTGGTCTTAAGATAACCATAAAACCACACCAGAAAGTTTTGGGCGTGTTTAGATCTATCTTTGGGCAACTGCTGGCTGTATTGATGCTTAACATAAGTGTTAAAGTTAAAGCTAAAGGCACCTACGAATGTACCGTACCCGTCTTAACGAAAAGAGGCACAAAGTTCTATTTTTGAGCGCAGATCGGAGTAAATATAGATTTCAAGATAAGTCGTTCAGACATAGAATTTTTTTAAAAATTTGGAAATTATTTATCTACAATGGACCAAAGAGCGAGCACATTTTTTGGTATATAGTGTGAATCTTAAAAAAGAGTGCAATATTATGAACATTAGTAGTGAACTGTTGTGAAGTCAAGGTGAAAAAAAATCGTTAAAAATATTTAAGTCCATTTCAATGTAGAAAACCTTTGGTTGCAATTATAATCAGACCATGAAAGAGAATAAAGTTCTGTTCTACGTTTCTTCTGCATAAAAACTTAATAAACTTTACAAATTTCCTCACGCCGTTCATTTTCCTTCAAATTGCCGAAGCAGAATGAGGATTAGACTTTTCACTAAATAAAAAATTAGCTGATAAACTCCACACAAGGTGTATAACAATGTTTTCCATCGTGTCGCTTTGTTTATGAGAGATTACATGCACATATGAGCTAATTGGACGAGCCGTGGGACATCAACTTGAGAGTGCACAGATTGGTAATGAGCTAACTTGTATAGCTTATGTACTTTCAAAGATAATAAACTTCTCAGTTACAGGTTTATCATAAAATTCCACCTTTAAGAAATCCGCAAATTTGAGATGCGGAATGGAGCGAAGCCTTTTCTTTCAATGGTAGCATAAAAGAGAAAAGCAATAAAAGACAAGTGATTGGTTGGGTTCCTTGCTAGAAGAAAGAAAACCAATCTTATTTTATTCAAAGTTAGCGGCACCTCAAATAGGACTAGTTATAAAGCGCAAAAACATTTTTTTTCACATACCGCCTGTTCCGAACTGCACGTTAGAGCAGCACTAGACAACGTGAAATACTTGGTATGCCAACGTCGTAAGAATCGCCATCGTCCTTTTTTCTCTTTGAGTTGGCCTTCAAGAACTCGTTGTGAACCGTCTTCGACAAACGACCTGGAAGAATCTCTATGATGAGCTGTAGCAAGCCTAGATGGGTAGAAAAACGTACTTTACTCGGTCAGGATGTGAGCAACTGAAACAACTCCAACGATTGGATGGGCCATCTAAGGAAAAACAATCGAAAAACGATGCCTCTTCCAGCTCTTTGTAGAGTTTGTCTTGTTCCTAAAATGCCATGGATTTGCAAAACTTTCTAAGAAGAATGGACCGCCAACCTTTACAGTTGGAAAAGCGCTGGTAACTAGCGTGACGAAAGCTTGATCCTTAGTGATCCGAGCTGGTAAACATTGCCAACATCTAGCCAATGTTACAAACGGAGCAGCTGACTGCGATACCACACCACAGTCGTTTTCTATAGACGTCGACTGCATCTAAAAGATTAATCAATCAAATTCTA